GAGAGTGACTTGGAGATTACACATAGAAATGATCGAAGCCAAGGCCTTCAGAACATTCATTAGAGTATATTCCCTATTCAAAAGTGAGCGATTGAGCGCTAACATTAAACTAACCCTCCATAAAGCTCTTATTAGATCCTAAATGACTTATGCTAGTCCCGCCTGGGAGTTTGCGACAGACACCCATCAAGTGAAATTGCAGCGCCTGGAAAACAAGCTTCTCCGCACGATTGGCAATTTTCCAAAGCGCACACCGGTCCGCGATTTGCACATGGCAGTCAAACTCCCGTACGTATATGATTACATAACAAAATTATGCAGGCAACAAGCAGAAGTCATACAAAATCATGATAATGAGAATGTTCGCAACATCGGACAAGGCGAAGCCCGACACAGAAAGTATAAGAGGCTTAAACTTGGTGGCGGTCAGGCATACGACCGTTCAAGTGTCTAGACTGCCGTGGCAGCTAATACTACTAGGAAATATATATATATAAGGGCATAATCTGCTGTACCTAGCCTGGACTGACAGAGGCCGTGTATATATTGTACATTTAAATAAGAAATAAGTGTGTATTGTAAATATGTGTAAATACAGACAGTGGAGTTAGTAATACAGACTGAGTAACAAATGACAAACCCGACCTCTCGTTAGGGAGGTCGCTACACATAGACAAGACAGTAACTTTCATTCAAAGAAATATCTCGTCATGAGCCCCAGCTTGGGCTCGACACCAACACAGACAGACTGATTGACCGTCAGTTGCAACCTGACTCTGACTCTGACTCTGACTCTGTGCAACTTGAAACGGCAACGCAGTCAGAGGCATCAACTCCACTTCTGCGACCGGGTAACTGGCGTAGTCGCCACAAACCTTCAGCGAACGCATCTTACGCAACCCAGCAACCGGCCAAGCCAGTCGATCCTACCGGCACGCGCAGCACTGCATCACCGCCCAGACAGGCCAGCTAGATGGCCGTAAGACTCTGCCCACTATAGAGGAGTGAAATTGCAGTGAAACGAACTGCCCTTAGAGGGCCAGCCAACTCTTGAATATTATACGTATATTCTATGTTGTGTATATTGACTTTAAACGATTCGATATATACAATCGTATAGTTTCGTGTGGTTTGTCTATTGGAGTGTTGACGACAATTCCACATTGGTGACCCCGATAAAGTATGGCGACCGTTGACAGCACAACAACAACCTAGGCCCCGAGAGTGACCGTGCGGCTCCCACTGTTCTGGGCCGAGCAGCCTGCCGTATGGTTCGCCAAGGCTGAGGGACAGTTTTCATTGGCCAACATCAGAGACGAACAAACGAAATTTTATTACACAATTTCGCAGCTGGACCAACGTTATGCGGAAAGCGTTGCAGACATCATCACCGCGTCACCCGAACATAATTCTTACGCTACGCTCAAGGCCGAGCTCGTGGGGCGGCTGACCCCCTCGAAGGAGCAACGCATCCACCAACTGATCACATTGAGGAGATGGGCAAACCTAAGCATCTCAGAACCCTCGCCCCCGACATACCCGAGTAAATCCTGCGCACCATCTGGTCCAGTCGGCTGCCTCCACAAATAAGGACCATACTCGCCGGCCAAACTGACTGCAGTTTGTAAGCCGCCGCCCGCTGCGCAGACCGCATCACTGAGGCAGCACCGCAACCGGCGCTCGCTAGCGTTGGGCCATCACCCAACGCCGCACTCAGGGAAGAAATAGAGGACCTCTCCCTACAGTTGGCAGCACTCCGGGCCGAGCAGAACCGCCCCCGCAAAGCCCCAGAGACCCTCCGCCCAACTCCAAAGACCATCCTCCCAACCCCAGAGACCCCCGCTACAGAACTAGGTTCTCCCACCCAGTTACCAGGAACCACCGTGCACACAACAGATCACCTTTCCGAGACGAACCCGCAACCACCCTCCGCTGGTACCATCGTCGATTCGGGGCCCGGGCACAAAGGTGTACCTCACCCTGTGACTACCACCAGCAGGGAGACTAAAGCAGCAGACACCACCGGCGACACACGTCTGCTCTACAAAAACGGGCCACCTGTCTTCATCACCGACAAGTACAGCAAGCGGCAGTTCCTGGTCGACATCGGTTCCGACCTGTGCGAATACCCCCGCAGGCTTGTTCCGCGACGGAAGGAGAGGGTGAACTACGACCTCTGCGCTGCTAATGGCACTACCATCCACACCTACGGATGGCTGCCTCTCAGCCTCAACTTGGGTCTCCGCCGGGATTTCACGTGGCGTTTCATAGTGGCCGACGTCACCATCCCATCATCGGTGTGGACTTCCTCTCCCATTTTGGCCTGTTGGTGGACTGCCGAAACGAGCGTCTCATGGACAGGTTGACGACGTTATCCGTAGGGACTCAAGCCACCAGCATGCAGATCTCGAGCGTCAAGACCAACACTGGCGGCACACCGATCGACAGCCTCATCTCCGAATTCCCGGACCTCATTCGCCCAGCCGGAGTCCAGCGCAAAGTCCGCCACACCACCGTGCATGATATACGGATGATACCAGGCCCGCCAGTGACCTGCCGACCCCGGCGGCTGGCACCAGACCGGCTAGCCATCGCCAAGTCAGAGTTCGACGTTATGCTGCGAGATGGCACAGCTCGCCGCTCTGAAAGCTCCTGGTCCTCGCCCCTGCACGTCGTTCCCAAAAAGGACAACGGTTGACGTCCTTGGGCCGCGACTATAGAGCGCTCAACGCCAGGACAATCCCGGACCGCTACCTAGTCCCACATATCCAAGACTATTCACACCAGCTCCATAGCTGTACCATTTTCTCCAAAATTGACTTGGTACGAGCCTAGAACCAAATTCCCGTCAATCCCGGCGACATCCAGAAGACGGCCATTACCACTCCTTTCGGCCTGTTCGAATTTCCCTTCATGTCCTTCGGCCTGCGCAATGCATCCCAAACCTTCCAACGGTTTATGGACAACATTCTGCGGGGACTCTACTTCTGCGGTGGAACGAACTGCCCTTAGAGGGCCAGCCAACGCTTGAATATTATACGTATATTCTGTGTTCTGTATACTGACTTTAAACGATTCAATATACACAATCGTACAGTTTCGTGTGGTTTGTCTATTGGAGTATTGACGATAATCCCACAGTAGATATTCATATAAAGCCAGAGAAAGGAACTGAAAAGGGAGATGCATTTAAAAACACTTCTAAATTCTGTTAAAATTATCAAAATAATTCGAAAATATTGATCAGGATTACAAATCAAATATTTTATAAACTGCTAATAAGATCATGGAAGAGAATGGCAGTCATATCAAAATAGAAGCTGTTATACCTGAAATTGTGAGACAGGAGACAAGAGAAACAACTGGATAGCCCTGAATCAGAGAAGCCAGTACTCAAGGCGCAAATGAGAGAGATGAAGCATAACACTTGGAAATGTAATCTTTGTAATCATGCTTCCACTTCACTGCAGAAGTACGAAGAACATCCTCAAACTCATCCTCAAATAAAGTTCTTGTGCTTGTATTGTAGTAAGCAGTTCCCATCACAGAAGAGTCATAGTCATCATGTCAAACAGAAAAAAACGTTTCATTTGCAAGCATTGTGGAAAAAGCTTCCGTTTTTGGTATTCTCTTAGAGACCATTTGTTCATTCATAATAAAGGTGAATGCATATTTCAGTGTGAAAAATGTAGGAAAGAATTTGTGTCAAAAGCAAGCTATGATAGTCATGACTGTAAACCTGGTGGAGCTTCGTACCTCTGTGCTATATGTGGCGAGAGCATGAAGCACCTTCCAAGTCTTAGGTCCCACAGACTCTCCCAAGCTGATCATGCCAGTCAGCCCAAAACTTTCTTGTGCAATATGTGGAAAGGAATACAGCAGCAGGTGACACCAGAAGATGTACTGCCTATGTGATTATGTGCACATTCTGTGTTTGTAAACTTGAAATGTGTCATCAGTTTGTTCGTGGATGTTTGGATGCAAATATAAAGTTGAGAAAAGTTTCTGGCTTGGAAATGGATGAGTTAATGCTTTACAGTGATGAGCATACTGTTGAGAGTCTGTGAGGAACATCTTAGGAACCTTCTACACAAACAGAAAAGGAACTGTATTCACACACGTCTGATGGTTCTGCAGATGAGGAATATGAAACTCATACAGCACAGTCGGTCAAATCAGATATGTATGACTGCTTTATGTATTTATATCTACGCACACGTCTGTGATACACTGCAACTGGACTAACTACAGGTTTTTTGGATGTGACCATCCTTTGGGAAATTCAAGAGATGTCTCGGTGACGTCGGATTTTCGTGTAAACTACGCTCCCTTTCAGAATGTACCAGAGGGGTCTCGATATTTCGTTTGGACTATAGGCTCCTGTGACCTCCCCCCTCGATCTGCGCGATAAAACAAGCAAAAAAAAAAAAAAAAGACAGAAAGAAAAAGAGGCTTAGTTACCAAATACTAATTATTATCATAAAACATGGAAACATAATCCACGCAAGCTGCGTCCATATTTTTCGAAATTTGGAATCTTGTTTACATGTTCGACATTATTCTAATTTCTTATATTTACCAACTTTCAACGATGACTAGCATTTTGAATTGCCTTGCAATATGGTTGAAGAACAATGTCTGTGAAATAAAGCCTTGCAGTTCGGCATAAATCAACCGACGTGTCGGAGGAATATTTCACCTCCATCTTCAGGGTTGAAGGGTAAGCGAAGCAAGAAACTAGCATGATGTAGTGAGCAAGCAGAGTTGACAGTTCAAAGGAATTGCTTTGGCGACAAGAAGACGTGTGATAAGCGCGTACTTCGTTCAAGTAATTCTATAATTTGGGGTTTAGATGTCGCTAGTATATGCTTCCGCACGCAAATCTTCCCAGCTGTTGCATTTTGTTGCCGCCCTATATTTGGTTATTCGTGATCTTCGTGATCCGTGGATCCGCAGCGGTTGCAAAAGTCAGTTTCAGTCGTTTCAGTGGTGTCAGTTGCTGCAGAAGAGTGGTGGTATTGGGTTGTGATTTATGTTGCTGTTGCTTTTTTTGTTCCCCTTAACTTGATTCACAGATTTATGTCAGTTCTGATTCGTGAATGACAGTTTGCTGCTGCAGTCACGTTGCCTTAAGGTGTGGGTTCGTGTTTAATTCATGGTTTAGGTTTTATATTGTATCTTGAAGCGTTGGGTATAGCTTGAACAGAAGACACGAACTATGGTTACAGACATTTGAATGCAGTTTAAATATGTAGTTTTTTCTGTATGCATATCATTGACTTCGTCTGTGTTTCTTAACAAGTAAACGGCGTGGATTATGAATTCGGTTCATTCAAATGAAACAGTATTGAACTGAACAACGAGAATATTCGGTGGCTGTGATGATTATGCTTGAAGTTTGATTTTCAGTGATGGTGCTACCTTTGTATTATATTCTTAATTAAACGGCTGTGACAGTTGCAAATGTTTAAATTTTACATCAGACCCAGTTTAGAATAGCTGACACTCTGCAACATCTAGAAGAAATATCATGTCTTTGATAGCAGGAGATGAAGACTCCAGTGTCAGAGTGGCTGTGAGGTAGGATCATAATCTTTTCATTAATACGTTTGTGGATTGAATGATTGGCCTAGAGATATTGACAGTATGATTAGTGTTAGCAGTAAACAGTGAATTCAGGATCATTCTAGCCGATTCTGGCAATGGACTTCCCCCTCCAAAATTATTAATACAGTATTTAGTTACACTACTAAAAATTTAGATATTTAACGACATTTTCAAACAATTCTTTCGAGACAGCCAAGCATCCAGAGGTTTTGTGACCAAAAGTATTAGCAACAACAGTTGTTCTTTGTTGAGGATATAAAATTATACCTATTTGTTTGACAAACCCAAAATAAGTATAATTTTCAAAACACTTGAACATATTGGATACAAGTCTTTGAACTTTAAAGCAGTCTTGACTAAATTTAATGGTTCCATTTTCACATATGATGAAGACCATCAGTGGGTTGAAATTTAGGTTTTGTTTATTATAGTTGCTGTACAGTTTTTCATTCAGTTTTCCCCATCATCATTTCTTTCCTTTGTAGGTATATATACATAAAACATTTGGTTTGGGGGTTTACTGTGGCCCAAACGATGATCTTGTTTCATTGTTAAAGATTTGCTACTCCCAGCACTTTGTGTATGTAAACTCGGTGGGTGGGGGGACCAGGCATCTGCCCCCAATTAAAATTTTTTTTAAAAATCGAAGTAAGAAAGGAAGAAATGTGTACCAAATTAAAACATTTTTAAATGTGTCACCGTTTGAGTTTCAAGAGAGAGATTTGTAACTCATGGGTGATCTGTACAGATGTTTTTTTCAGTAACAAAATATTAGTTTGTAAGCAAATTTTTTGGCAGGTCCTCTTTGAAAAGAAACCCTGGTGTGCCACAGACATTCCCATGTCTGGACAGTGGGAGGGAGGGCAGAACTACCCAAGTTATGCTTATGCATAGAGTCACTGAGAACCTGATTTTTGTTGTTGTTACCTACAAAACCATATCTTTATACAGGAAACACTGTTCTTGCAGACCTTTGCATCATGTAACAAGAGGGTCCATGTCAACATTAATTTTGATAAGACACTAGTGATGTGTGAAATATTTTCTTAACCAAGGAATATATCTGGTATTAGTATGTTATCTCATGGTTGATTTTTTAGAAGTTGTGTGTTGGCACTAAGGCACAGCATCTGGCTTGTATTTAGTCTCATATCCTGGCTGAGAACAGAGTGTAAAAATTATTTCTTTTTATTTTCTTAGTCTGTCCAGGTTAATATTATGCTTGCTTTCTTAGATTCCTCCTTGTTCTTCATTCACAGCCATCCTACTATACTTTAATGTAATGTTACACAACTCAGGAGATTATACATTATCATAAATAACCAAGTAAAAAGTTTAATGGAGGGTACCTATAGCAAATCGAAATATTGATATTGTTTAGAGGCAGAATAGTGTGTGAACATAATGCAGAAAGGACTGTACAGTAAAAGATTTATGTTGAGAAGGTAAACAGTAAGAGTAAATGCTCAGTTCTTATGTAGCAGGAATTGTTGAAAATTTGAGTTAACATGGAGGAATTCATTTGCATACCTTGAACACACCAAAATAACTTAATCTGAGCTACACTGTAGTGTATCCTTGACCTCCAGTTACCAGAAGTATTAATTGGTTTTTCTTCCTTGGAAAATATATGGAATGCCTCAGGCAGTTAGGGTTGTTGGCTTTGGAGTAGACAACTGGGGTTTCATTCTGGCAGGATAGTTTGTCTTTCCTGTCATGTCCAGACAGCCTGGAGCCCATCTGATGGATGTAGGAGGTTCTCTTTCCATGGGAGCATGTAAAGACTAGAGGTGTGGAAATAGCTTTACCCTCAGGCTCTGTATGATTATGCCTTCATGGTAGGGTTCCAATGCCCTGGGGGAGTTTCATCTTTTCATTATCCATATCTTTCATTGAAAGTAATTTGATCTGCTTTATTTTTATAGTATTTGAGGTTTTCGCAGCAGTGGTTATGAAGGGTTCTGTTTTCTGTGATGTAAGATGATGATGTCCATTGAATTGACTGCAGAGCATTGTATCCCAGAAGACAGAAGTCAGCTTCCTTTTTAATTATTGTATAATGTTTTAAGTTCACGCAGTATTTTCAGAATAAATTTTACGGTTATGTTGTGGCTGGTTGAATGATTATGTAAATGAGCTGCCTGCTTCTTCTCTGAGGAAAGACAGTAAGTTTATTGGTGCGTGCAAGTCAGGTTCTGGAACTCTGGACATTGGCAGCCTTTCCCATGATGTACAGATGAATACAATTTCTTAACTTGCGTACCCAGTGAAGCATGGAGACTGAACACTAAATCTGTGAAGCGTGCAAGGTTATTACAGGCTTTCACTTGAAAAGAAAAGTAAAGAATACTTGCAAAAGACCAGCTTTGTGTTGTCAAGTATTATACCATTTAAATGAATTATCATTTATTTATCCATGGTGTTCTATATTTGCAGCTTTCTCTGTTTCGGATTCCAAATCCCTCCCCATTTCTCTAGTCATTTTTCTTGGATATGCTACAATTGATAGTCATGGGAATTACTTACTAGAATTTATCAGCTGACAGTATTTTATGTGCAGTGAGACAGACTGGGGCAGAACACAGACATGAGGGATTATGCTGATAAGTGTGAAGATTGCTAGCAGTAAAATGCAGACATACATCCAGCCTTATGTGAGATTCAAATCGATGACTGTGGGAGCCAAGTCTATGTGCATTGTTCTTTAACTGTTAACCTCACCATGGTCATTGAGACGAAATCTGAGTGAACCAAAATTTGTTCTTTGGCACATTAGCAATGCAAAATTGCAGATAGTGCCTATTAGTTCTGCCCTCTGTCCACATGTAACAACACAAGAAATACTGAGTGGATTTTTATGAAATTGTATATCTGGTAGTGGAATTCGTGCTGGAGTACTCATAGTTTCCATGTATGTTCTTTGCACTTGGCATTCTGAATGCTCCTAGCTTCTGAATGTTTACATCCATTATTATGATCTTTCTGTTATATCAAATTAACAAACTCAGTCCAGCAGTTCTTGAATTGCAATATGCATCTGGCAGGAGGGACTGGTAGACATGGAGACATGATCTCCCTTACATTGATTGAGTTTTATGTCATGCAGAGAATGTATAATAAGTATGCAAGGACTGCTCAGGTTCATTAGCAGGAACTATATGTATGTCGAACTGATTGTCTTCTCTAACACATGAAAGTACCTTCCATAGACCATTTTGGGTCAAGCATGATGGCTGAACTGCTGTGCTTCTTAGTTTACTTGGGAGGTGACTGGTTGAAATCTCAGTTTAGGCACCAACTATTCTGTATGAAGATGTTCATAGTTTTCGTCAGTCCCTCCATGAAACTGTTGGGATAATACGTTACTATTAGGCCACAACAGCTTTTTTTACTTCCTTTCCAATTCATTATTTACCATCATTCAGTTACGTCATATAACGCAAATTACTGAAAATTTTGTTAAATAAACTAAAAATAAATAAAAATATTATTTGTCTCTATTGATTGTGCAAAGTTTTTGAAATTGACTACATGTCATGACTGCATGTAGATGGTTGATGGCAAGTATCCATGGGATCTTCATGCAATACTGTAGATTTTTTTTTATTGCTAGTGGGGTGGGACTAAGTCCCTTGTACTGTGGCCACTTCTGGCCTATTGTACCAGCCCCAGATGATAGGTGAGGGTGATTGTGGAGAATTTGGTGGAATGAAGATTGGCAGGGAAAACTTAAGTACTCGGAGAAAACCTACCCCAGCGCCACTTTGTACACCACAAATCCCACTTGACCAGACCCGGGATCGAACTCGGGCCGCCGCGGTGGGAAGCCAGCGACTAACCGCTTGAGCTATGGCGCGGCCTATACTGTAGATAGATCCTCCATATTTTGTCCATATAAAATTATTTAAAGCTTAGGTTATTTTAAAAAGTTGTGTGAAGTTCTGTGGGCTTTGTGAGCACGGTAATGAGCCTTAAGTTCTACACAAAGTCCGTAATTTCTTTGCCACCTAAGTGACTCTTAGCTTCTCAAAAGTGGTGCATCTCCATAAAGTTACTTATTAATTAATTAATTAATTAATTATTAAAGGAATGTATTACCTCCATGGTGCAAGGTCTCTGCTCAGAATCTTGGTTATTTATCACGGTTAAGTTTTTTTTTGTGGTTTCACGTAGTCTATACAGATAATAGCCAGGGCAGTGTCATAAAGTGGACCATGATGGGTTCATCCTGCTTCCTTTCCAAATCACCATTCATAAATATTCCGTTACTTTTCATCTCATGCTGCTTAAGTAATTGTTACAGCCTGTAGGAAACAACCCACTAGAGAGTAGTTTAGGTGGTTTATTTGGTGTTTTCTTACCATTCTTCAGTGCAAGCAGAAATTCAGACTTAACATTTGGGCTTCTGTGTGCCACAAATGCAGTGTACTTTAGAATTGATGTTTGTGTGGTCGTTGACTTGCGAGTCAGAAACTCTTATCATATCTGTCCTTGGTGTCTGTATCTTCCTTGAGCCTTTATAACATACAGCATGGCTATGATAGATAATCAATAAGTATTAATGACATAATGATCGAAAAGATTGTCACAAAATTAAGCTGCTCCACATGAAAACAGTTTGTTGAAACCATGAAGTAGGGAGATCCATAATGTTTTTCCCTTGTTGTCAAATATCGTTACAGTGATTAAGTCAAGGAGATTGAGTTGGATAACACATACTCCTATATCACATATGAGGAAACAGATGAACACACATTATTGTTGAGTCCCAAGAGAGAGAAACCATGTGGAAAACTGGGACTTGGGTTCAAGGCTAACATTATAATTTATCTTGAAGAAATATATTTTTTTAGGAGACCGCCTCTGTGGTCTAGTGGTCAGAGTTCATGCTTACAGATTCAGGGGTTCCGGGTTCGATTCCCAGCGCTACCGGATTTTCTGAGAAATAGTGGTTCTGGAACGGGGTCCACTCA